GGTGCTCCCCAGGCAACACTGCCCACCTCAGCGAGCATTGCCCAGAGCAGTGGGTGTGCTCACTGCTGAGGCTTAGGAGCCTGGTAGCTGAGAACAGCCTGTAGGGAGCTGCAGGGGGTCCAGGCTCCCAGTGCTGGCCAGTTACTAGGTATATTATGTTGGGGACGCTACTTAATCTTTGAATGCCAGGTTCTTCATCTGCGTGGACAGTAACATCATCTGCCTCACAGGGTGGTCTGAGAATGAAATAATACATGCAGCACAAGTAGGATAGACCCTTGCTCAGGGAGTGCTCAGAAATGTAGCTATTGCCACTGTGAACTGCACCATTGCTTTGTTGCTCGCTGCAGACTTTGCCTTCTGCTTCCTGCCAGGGAAGACAAGGGTATTCATCTATGCTGTCGAGATGTTGCAGGAAGCTCCCTTTTAGTAAGTGAGTTATAAAAATAAAGCTGTAAAGAAGACAGATTGCAACATACTCTGAAACCTGTATTTCCTGTGCATTTCAGTCTTAATAGCTGCAGATTGAAGTTCTCTGAGGTGTAGTGAGCTGTGAAGATGAAGAAACTTAAAGTGTACGGCTGGGACATGGGGTCTTCTGATGGAAAGAACCTCTGCCCTGAGGGGTGGAGTTGTGCTTGGTAGAGCCTTGTGTTTCAGGTAGCTGAGGCTTTCTGCTCCCCTGAGCCTTCCTTATTTTTATTTTTATTTGGTTTGTTGCTAGGGGTAAGCAGCAAGGCCACAGGGAGACCAGTTTTAGCATTCAAAGGGTGTCAGGTCTTCTAAGTGAGAAAATCACAGGACAGGACCTTGAGTCAATCAAAGCAGCCTTTAGGCTGTCAATCTCCTGTCTTAACCCCTTGAGTGAACCTATGTGCTGTTTAACTAAGGTGAGCTCTGGGCTTGGCCCTTGCAGGAATGTGGGCCTGCAGCATTGGCCATGGGAATGAGGTTGTGTCATTTTGTTTACGTCAGAGGCAGCAGGAAGGGCCTAGTTGTGATTGGCACCCTTAAGGCTTCTGTAAGTCTCCAGTAGTCAGGGACTATATCTCAGGGATCTGCAGCCGGTTCTGTGGAGCGACCATGACATAGAGGCTGACCTGTTCAGGCCTGGACCCTGAAGATGAAGATAGGCATGTGGATGGACTGTCTGGATGAGGTTTGTGTCTGTCAGAGAAATTCCAGGCCCAGGAGACTCAGCCCAGGAGCAAAGCTGACTTTACTGAAGTGTTTAGAAATGGACACTGAGAAGAAAACATGGCTTTTAGAGTCTGATCAGCCTGGGCCACAATGCCAGCTCAGTCACTTAATAGCTATCTGCTTTGGTAAAATTCCTAGCCTTTCGTTAGTTTCTTTGTCAGCAAAATGGGGATGGTTCCGTTTCCTTCAAAATATGTTGAGAGGTTCAAATATGGAAAGTACTTAGGAAGTATAATAGATTCAGAATCAAACTGATGACTTTGATTGCCTTGGAAAGGCAAGAGAGGACATTTCACTCTGTCCCTATTTATCACTAGGATTTTTGAACTACATCAATAGTTTCCTGGTTAAAATGTTAATTTAAAGTAACACACTGACAGAATTTACAAAGGTTCATTTCCTTTCCTTGTCCCCTGGTGACCCACTTCTCTTACATGGGCTCTTGAGTATCTGTGTCCCTATTATATATCCAGGCATGGCATGGCATCTGTCCAGACCACCTGCCCGTCTTGATGAGAACCTAGTAGCCAGAGGAATGGACAGGCCAGATAAGTAATAAGAAGATAACTAATCTGCCAAATAGAGTCCCAGGAACAACCAAGCCGGTGTGTGGGGCTGTAGTATCAGAAATGACTGCAGCCCAAGCCATGTATGGTGTCTTATGCCTGTAATCCCAATGCTTGAGAGGCTAAGGCAAGAGGATGGCAAATTCAAGACCAGCCTTGGCTACATAGACAATACAAATACACCATGCTTGAGGCTCAAGGGTCTGTGGGACACAGAGAAGCCTGGAGAGTAAGCCACCTACCAACCAAAGGCCATCCTTTAAACAGATATACGGAAACATAGCACTAAGAGCAGCTCACACTGATTGTGTGTATTCTATGCCCAGGCTCTGTGCCTGAGGTTTTCCTTTTGTTATCTGATTTGATTTTCAGAGTGACTCCATGAGATAACATTTTAGTAAGTCTCTAGGCTCTACTGTTAATCCCATGCTATGGTTGAGAAAACAACTAAGGGGATTAAGTCACTGCCTCATAGCACACAGCCAGCACTGTAGTAAACAGGAAGTTAACACTCCTGGGCTGAGCGCAGGCCAGGTCTCCAGCCCTGCGTGCAGCTTACCAGGTTCTCCCTGCATGTGTGTGTCCCTGTGTGTGTCCCTGTGTCCTCTCATTCACCACCTCCACCCCTACCCCACCCATGTTACTAACAAGGCTTTTGTGGACTCTGCAGGTTTCTACTGCAATCTTTAGAAGATCTGGATACAAGTTTACGAAAGCTGAACTCCCGTCTGTTTGTAGTCCGGGGACAGCCAGCTGATGTGTTCCCAAGGCTATTCAAGGTGAGTGTGTAGGCCTGAGAGGGAGATTCTGTTGTCTGGCATCTCCCCAGAGTGAAATGCTATTCTGGCTGGCAAAATGGAAATGCTGTTGCCTGTCTGGCCACTAAAATGGCTGCTAGGGAGGTCGGAAGCAGAGACAGCTGGTAAATTTGCCAGCAGGGTGGAAACTGTTAAGGGAAAAAACTCTGTACAATCAGTGTTGTGTTGGAAAGATCCCAGCTCAGCCCAGACACACAGTGTGGTAAGTCCTTCCACTGTGCCGCCGCTGGCTTCCTTATGTTTCCTTGCTCAAGCCAGGATGTTTTATTAGGGCCTGTTCTTGCCAAGGCTTTGAGGGTGGGGTTTCCTGTCTAACAAGGGGTGCTGCCCACCTTGACTTGCTCTGTTTATTATTGAAAAAGTCAGTCAAGCATTTGAGGGAGTGTCCCTGTTTCCCTATAGTAAGCAATTAATAAAATCTTCATTCAGGGAGCATATTGGAGGCAGCCCATTTTCTCCTAGTTTCTTTAAAATGCGTCTTTGAAGGCACAAGCAAAGGCAAAAGTACTCATGGATAGGGCATTTTAGACCATTGTCTTTTATCCTGAGTAGCACTGCAAATTCTGTGCCGGGAGAGAAAGTCTAATGTCAAAGAAAATTGCTTCATACTGTGTCTCCTCAACCCCCGTAATTCTATACACACCTTGAGTCACTGGACACTAGTCACTCAGGTTCTCTGAGGGCTGACTGAGTCCTGTTTCAACCACTAACATGGGCTAACACCCACCCCCCATTACCCCCGAGGGGTGGGTTTTATGTCTCAGGTTTATAGGTGAGGAAGCTAGCATGCACCCCTGGCCAAGATGGTGTCTTAGGCTCTGTGACACAGAGCTGTGTGTTTACCCGCCATTATGAAATTTGTTAGGCTGTGGCGAACATACATGTGTGTGTTAGGCTGTCGCTGTGGCTGTGGCTCAGGGCTAGAGCACTGGCTGAGGGTGCCACTTGCTGAGTAAGGCCCTGGGTCCCATCCCCAGCACAACAAAACCAAGACAACGATAACAGAAAACATTTTGTCTTTCCTGTGCTTCCACAGTGCTCTTCTCTCTCCCTGTAGCTCAGAAATATAGATCCGTTGTTATTGAGCCACTCAATGTGTATTTATTGAACTTGTACTGGCTGTCAGGCCGCTAAGGCTGACAGGGAGATAGTGATGCATGCACGACAAACACAGCATGATTTCTGCGCTGAGCGCACACAATGATAGGCCAAACAGACAGGTAACGGCAACTTAATTGCCTGTGACAGATGTGCTGGTAGAAATAGGACAAGGCACAGGAGAATCATCCCGAGGGAGTGGGGGCTGTCATTTAATGAGAATCTTCTTACTCACAGGGTTATATGAGTATGTAATGACATCTATGTGAACCACTTAGCATAGCAAGGGCTAAATAAAAGTTTAGTGCCCTTGGACTTAGACAGGCTGGATATGTATGGCTAAGAACGCACCCCCTGGGCAAGACTGAATGAGGATATTTGCGAGTCGTTCCACGTTTTAAGGAACTATGACCACAGACTGGTTAGACTGTTTGCTTCTTGGTAGTTACATGCTTTCTGTGGCTTGTCTAGATGGCTTTCAGTGGATCAACTTTCTCCTGCTGTTGCTAGGCGACCAGCCATTCCTACCAGAAGTGACAGAAAGCTCAGAAACAGTTCCCCTCTTTGCAGCCTGTAGCCTCTCCAGTTTGTTTGCTGCAACCTCCAGACTAAGGCTCGCTCCTCCTTCTCCAGCTCTGAGAGCTATTAGCTCTGTTTGCTTCTGGCCTAGGGAGTGTTGCTGTGGAAACCATTAAGACACTTTACATAGCACAAGTCTGCCAAGGAAACTAGGCCACAAGTTTGTAGAGTCTGAGGAGGCCTGGGAAAGGCTGCAGAGCAGGCGGGAGTTAGTGACCCTGTGTGTGTCTTCTCCGCCCGCTTCCACTGTGAGTCATTACCTCTCTGTGGGCTGGGGGCTCCCCCGGGAACACTGTATTTTTAGCTTCATTCTCCCACCTCAAGGCCACAGTGAATGCGCAGGGCCTTCCTACTGACTCCACCACAGCAGTGCTATGGCTCCTGGCTGCCTGCTTCACGTTTTCTGGGCCTCAGGCTCTCTGCTTTCCAATTTAAGCTATTGTCTGATGCCCTTCCTTTGTTCTGTAGCCATTCTGACATGCCTCAAGATTAGCCCTGTTCACTCCCAAAAAGGAGCTGAGAATGCCCAGATCCCTCTTCTCCAACAGTACTGAGCATAACAGATTATCTCCTCACAGGAATGGGGGGTGACCCGCTTGACCTTTGAGTATGACTCCGAACCTTTTGGGAAAGAACGAGATGCAGCCATTATGAAGATGGCTAAGGAGGCTGGTGTGGAGGTAGTGACTGAGAACTCTCACACCCTCTATGACCTGGACAGGTAAGACATGGGGGCGCTTGGTAAGGTTGCTCATGGTTAGGGTTGGTGATTTAGGTTCCTCTTAAGTGGAACTTGCACCAGTTCAGCACGAGGGCTACCTGGCTCACAAGGTACAGTATCTTCTAGAAACTGGACAAGAATGGGCCAGAGTTGGGGACTAAAGAAGTCACCATGAGGTTTCCCAGTTTGGATAACAGAGTCTTGGTTAGGCCCAAGCAGTGTAAGCAGGGAGGATCTATCTCCATACAGGGTTTTCACAGATCTGTCTTTGACTTATTGAGCTTCCTGCTGTGCTCCCAAACTGTAATATCCTAACCTTGGCAGACCCCATCTGCCACCCCTCCAGCAGGTCTCTGCTCCCACAGACCTACTTTAAAGCCCTAGGACAATTCCTGGCTCTGCTCTGCCTATTTGGGTTTCCAGGCCATGTATTTTGATGCTGTTTGAGGGCTCTAGAGACCCCTGCAGGGTGCTGTTAACTATGCCTTCTTGCCCAGTGGCCAGCCTCTGTGCTCTGTCCCCCCTTCCCTACTGGAGATGTCGCTCTTTTGTTGCTGCTGCTCCCTGCCCTCCCCAACCAAGGGTTGCTTGCCAGGAGGCTGGGTCACACAGCCGTGCACGTGAGCCAAGCCCTCAGGAGGAGAGGCTTGGTGTGGAGCCCTTCCCCTGCCACGTGCCAGAGGAGGGGAGGGACTGCAGAAGGAGCAGCCAGCTTTTGTCTGGGCAAATGGGGGCAGCAGAGGGAGAACAAACCGGGAAATGAACTCACTCAGACAGGCAGCCTTTGCATAAGCTCCTTCTCAGGCAGCAAGAGCTGAGGAATCTGGCTGCCAACCACCCAGCTTTATACAGAGGCATGTGGCTCTTTTCTTCAGCCCTCTTGCCTTTCCTTCTTGCTTGTAGAAAGCTCTTGGCACGCTGCAGAACTCTTTATGTTGTTGTTGTTTAGCACACTCCCAGGCTCTGACTTGGGGAGCATCAGCTGCCCCCCACAACTCTGCTCTAGTAAACTAGCTAGGGCTATCAGGAGGGTGAGCCTCCAAGAGAGGAGCATGGCACAGCCCACACCGCACATCCCTCAGCGGTTCGAAATGGGGTGGAGAGAGGCCCTTGGTGTGGTCAAAAAGGTTCCCAGAAGGCCCATGGGGGATTTTTCTGTCTGATTAGAGAGATACGGTCAGTCTCTGTCTCTAGGCGTCTCCACGTGGACACCAGGGAACCTGGAATTGAGTCCCAGCTCTGGCCCTGCCTTGCTCCATTACCTGAGGCACCTGTTCCAGCTCTCTGGGCTTCATTTTCCCTCTCGGTAAAATGGAGATACAGCTTCCCCTGCGCCCCCCCTTTCTACTCAAGAGGTGGGACCATGAGCTGATGAGGAGAGTGACCCTCAGAGCTTCTAAGTCTGGGCTATTTTTTGGGTGGTCAGGGACCCCAAAATAAAGGACTTCAGGAGTGACTTCAGATGTGCTTTGGCCTCTCCAGAATCATCGAACTGAATGGGCAGAAACCACCCCTTACCTACAAGCGCTTTCAGGCTATCATCAGCCGCATGGAGCTGCCCAAGAAGCCAGTGGGAGCTGTGAGCAGCCAGCAGATGGAGAGCTGCAAGGCAGAGATCCAGGAGAACCATGATGACACCTATGGAGTGCCTTCCCTAGAGGAACTGGGTTCGTATGTCCTGTGCCACATCATACAGGCTGCTGCTTCCTGTATGGGATGTGGCTTTCTTGTTTCCTTCTTTGTCAGAGTTAGAAAATACTGGCCTAGTTGCACGCGCCTGTAATCTCAGAATCTGGGAGACAGAGGCAGGAGAAACAGTTCAGCCTGGGCTACCTGAGGCCTTGTCTAAAACAAAACAAAACCAGAAAAAGTTGCTGTTACCCACCTACCTGACCTCCATGACCTGCTTATGCCCTGCCAGGCTGCTCCTCTTTGTTCCTCTCTCCGACAGAAGAGGTGTGTCTGTCGCTGGTCAGTGGGCTTCTCCACTAAGATGACTAACCCAGTCTCTGGGTATCCAGTCCACCTCCCTCTCTCCCTCCTCCCAGACTATCTTCTGATCTGAATAAAGCTAGCCTTCTTCATTTTAAGGGTTTTCTGAGTCCCAATAGCATCAAGTACAAGGTCTATGGTTTTGTTTAAAGAACAGATCAGTGTGAATAATGGAAGTGATCATTTTTATAACTGTTAATCACCTTAAAGGTGTTTCCCAAGCTCTTTCTGAGGTGATCTGATCTGCAATGCTATAGCCTGCTGTTCCTTTTATAGGGTTCCCCACAGAAGGACTTGGCCCAGCAGTCTGGCAAGGAGGAGAGACAGAAGCTCTGGCCCGCCTGGATAAGCACTTGGAACGAAAGGTATGGCCCTGTCTCCGAGCCACAGAACTGCAGCTGCACAGCAGGGGGTGTAGGTCAGGTTCATGTCAATCAATCTTCGATTGGTTGAAAACTGAAAACTCTTTCTGATGACAAAATTAACAGCAGCTTCTGGCTAGAGACCTCACCCCTGCCCTGGCCGCAGGCTTACGTGCCTGACTGCACTCTCTCCCTTTGTCTGTCCAGCAGCCCCACAGGCAGGCATTAGGCTCTCCATCTGACAGATTACAAGGCTGGGCTTAGAGAGGTTGAGTAACCTGCCTGAGGTCATACCATTTCTAAGTAGCCTAGGGAGGCGTGGTTCCATGCCACACACAGTTTGTACCAGATTAACTTTCTTCTGTGGATAGGATTTGCTTACTGCAAGGGCATCCAACCAGGCTTGGTGCATACCTGTAATCTAGCATGGAAGAGGGCTGAGGCAGAAGGATTGCTTTAGTTTCCAGGCCAGAGTGGGCTACAGAGTGAGAACCAATCCACAGGACTGTTCAGTTGGTAAAGCCCCTAAGGTCAATTGTTAGTATCAGATGGCCTCTCCCCATCTTTATTGTTTCCTCCACAGCTTTGCATTCCATTTGCTTAGTTCCAGATAGCAAACAGCCCCCATTCTTTGCAGAGGGACTCAGCAAGAGGAAGAGTCTGAGGCCCAGAGGCACTGTTCCATATTGTCCATGGTCCTCACCCTCTTGTGACCAGAGAAGCAGAGTAGCTTCCAAGGACTGAGTACTCTCCCCTCCGAGTTTCCTGGCCCTTCAGTCTCTGTAATCTGGCCTTTACAAGCACAGCTTTTTCTCCTCCTGCTCAAGTGGCAAGGTGTTTCACCAGCGGCTAGATGACAACAATGGACTAAGGGCCCAAGATGGCCTGCTTAGGAAGGATCTTCCCCAGCCTCAGGAGTGCCCAGCCAGCACCTGAAGGTTGTGCTGATGGCCTCAGCCTTCCTTAGCTCAGCAGACTTAATATTCCCATCCTGATGTTTCTTGTTTAGCTGAGGCTAAAACAAGTTCCTCCAATCTGAAAGATGAAGCCCAGAGTCAGCAGCAGTGAGGGACCAGCTTTCTGTGTCTACAGCGAGAGCTCTGACCAGGGCTGGGATAGAGCTTGGTGTGAGAGTGTTTTCCAGATATGTTCAAAACCCTCATTCCATCCTAGCACCAGATGAAAGGAAAAAAGGAAAACAAATAGACAAACAAAACAAAATACCGGGCCCAGAGATTCTTAGGCTGTTTGGAGACAGAAGTTTGGTCAGGAGCAGGGGATGGAGCAGACAAAGGAAATGGCAGGAGGGGTAAGACTGACGATGCACAGAACTAACCTGTGGCCTGAGGAATCCTCATCTTTATTCCTTGAAAGTATTTTGTAAGCTGGATGTGGTGGTACACATCTTTAATCTCAGCACTCAGGGAGGCAGAGGCAGGCAGAACTGTGAATCCAGAACAGCCAAGGCTACACAAAGAAACCCTACCTTGAAAAACAACAACAACAAAAAAGGTATTTTGTAGAGTATTGCCCCTCAAATCACCAAATCAGGAGCCCATTTTCCACACACCTATGGATGGTAGCTACCCTGTTCTCCACTTACTGGGCAAACCAGAGGTACTGGATTGAAGAACTTAACCTTTTTGGTTCTTCAGATCTAAAGGGAGCAGCCATTTACATCAGGATGTTCTAGGAGCTAGAAAGACTGATGAATAGGGCATACATGGAAAGCCTCCAAACACATTTGTTTAGTTGCAGATGGACTAAGGATTAGGAAAGCAGCAGGTCAGAAGGTTGCAGGAGCAAAGAGCATTGGGGTTAATTATCAATCAAGTGTTGTACTTGCAACTGGGGAGTTTTATAAACCATTATAACAGGAGAGATGGCACAGAGGTTAAGAGCACTGTGTGCTCTTCCAGAGGTCCTGAGTTCAATTCCCAGCAACCACATGGTGGCTCACAACCATCTGTAATATGATCTGGTGTCCAGGCAGAATATTGTATACATAATAAACAAATCTTTAAAAAACTGATACTGGGTGTCTGAAAATTGAGGTGTTTCTCCACCTGGCTGAGGAAGGGTGAGGTTTTACATAAGCTGCTCCTGCCTGCTTGTCACAGGAAGAAAGGACACCTGAAAGCTGAGGGGGACATGTTAGAGTGGGCAGGAAGGAAAGGTGTTAGGAACAAAGATAATAGTATGGGAGATTCAGGTCTAAAGTGAGACTCCCAGGCTCTCTGCAGCCTGTTTCTTACCAGGGCCCTGACCCCAAGAGAGTCACAGAACATTTTGAGCCCAGTTACTCTGTAGAAGATGATGGCATAATAGATATTCCAAGTATTGTTAAGGTCTTGTGAGAACCCTCCTCAGAACAGTGTATCTGGAAAGCAGAGTAGCGTGCCAGGGCCTGTGGGTGAGGAAAACAAGACCACTAATGTAAGACAAGAGGCCACAGAAGTGAATGGCTCTGTTGGTCTCTGGAAATGGGTTGGAAGTTTCTTGTTTTCCTGGCTGTTTAACAATGGTGAGAAGTCCCTGGGTGTCCTACAGGCTTTTGGTGACAAGAGCAGGGACTGAGCTAGGAATATTGTTTTCTTTAAAGCATGTGCCTTCCCCTCTTCTGTGTAATTACAGAGTTTGTTCCATGTTCTAAGCATTCTTTTCTACTTCATTTAATCCCCAGAGACAGGGAATGCCCTTATTTAATAGCTAAGTAGTTGAGGAGCTGAGTAAGTCATCACAATCATCCCACAGCCTGAACATTGAAGTCAGAGCAAGAACATGGATGCCTCTCTTTCCTGGAGTGGAATGCACACAGTGTTCAAGGCCTGGCTCCTCACTCTGTGACACCCTTCTGTCACCTGTCTTCTGTAGGCCTGGGTTGCCAACTATGAGAGACCTCGGATGAATGCCAATTCCTTGCTGGCCAGCCCCACGGGCCTCAGCCCCTACCTGCGCTTTGGATGCCTTTCCTGCCGCCTCTTCTACTACCGCCTGTGGGACTTGTATAAGAAGGTGAGGGGCAGGCAGTGCACAGTCCACCTAGGCGCAGCGCCCGTCGCCAGTCATCTCAGAAAGGGCCCTTCTCTCTGGCTTTGGGGCCGGGCTCTGAGAGTCCTGGAGACACTCAACTCAGAGAAACAGGACATGTTGGTTTCCAAGAGGTGACAGCTGTGCACAACTGAGTCACTGATGTGAATGAATCTAGATTCTCCTATGGTTTTGAAGACAAGACAGAAAAGCTGGCCTCGGGGGCTTTAGAGGTGGTCCATTCACTAGCAGCTGGTAAGGCTTGGGACCTCAGGGTTGGAGGTGAGCAGTGAGGCCAGAGGCAATCCTAAGCAAAAAGGCTCAGCTGCCATCACTGGAGCTGGGACCAGAATTTAAAGGGGAAGTCCAAGGGAGGCCTGGAAGGGTTGCATACAGGACTGTGCCATGCAGCCTGGAGCCTCTTGGCAAAGCATTCCCTGGAGAAGCTCCTGAGGTCATACTGTGTCTTTGCTTTCTAAGTGTTGCTTTCTCAAGCCCAGCCAGCATCAGCTTCATGGCATGGGGTAGCTTTGGCAATTAGGGGAGGTCATCATTTGTATAGAATCAACCTAATCCTTTCCTGTCTTGGATTGTTGCTTATACATTATTTAACTAAAATCCAGACTTGAAACTTCTTAATTTTTTTTCTTAATTTTTTTATACAGTATATTCTGATTACAGTTTCCCATCGCCCAATCCTTCTAGATCCTACCCAGTTCCTCACCCACTCATATCCACCCCCTTTCTTTCTCTGTCTCATTAGAATACAAACAGGCATCTAAAAAAAGAAGAAGAAAACGAAAATAAAAGCAAACAAACCTGAATTAGACAAAACTAATGAACAGGGGGGGTGGGGGAAGAGCCAAAGAAAAAGCCCATGAAACACATATAAACACAAAGACACAGACATTCACACACTTGAAAATCTCATAAAAGCACAAAACCGGAAACCATAATGTTACAAAAGTCCTGTAAGGTTTAAAAGAAAGAAAGATAGAAAGTGCCCAGCCAAAGTATTAATGAGATTTAAAACAAAACAAAACAAAAAAACCTCCAAAACCACCACTGACTTTGTTTTGTGGTCGCCATCTACTGCTGGGTTCTGCTCATGCAGTTTGTATACCCAAAAAGACTCCACTGGAGAAAACTAATTTCTCTTTGTAAGTAGTTATCAGTTGGAGATAGCTTCTGGGTTAGAGATGGGGCCTGTGTCCACTTCTCTCAGAGCTGGAACCCCATCTGACTTATAGACTTGTGCAGGCTTTGTGCATGCTGCCAGTCTCTGTGAGTTCACGTGTTCTTCAATCCTGTTCCATCTAGAAGACCTTGTTTCCATACCCACTGGCTCTTACAGTCTTTCCATATCCTCTTCCAAAGAGCCCAGAGGGGAGAGATTTGATGGAGACATCCTATTTAGGACTGAGTATTCTGAGGTGTCTCACTCTCTGCACTTTGTCCAGTTGTGAGTCTGTGTATTTGACCCCATCTACTACAGGAGGAAGCTTCTCTAATGATGGCTGAGCAAGATACTCTATGAGTATAGCAGAATGGCATTAGGAGTCATTTTATTGCTACATTCTTTTAGCAGAACAGTAGTCTTTAGTTTTCCTGTAGGTCCAAGGCATCTAGTCTCAGGCTCGTGGCCATGTGGGCAGTGTCAGGGATGGGTTCCATCTCATGGAGTGGGCCTTAAATCAATCACATAGTGGTTGGTTACTCCGACAGCTTTTGTGCCAGTGTTATATCGGTGTATGTTGCAGGTAGGTCACCGTTGTAGGTCAGTGTGTTTGCAACTGGGTTGGTGTTCTTTCTTTCTCCTCTGGGAGCATGCAAAGTACGTTCCAGTACTATGAACACTAGTTAGCAGCTAGAGTAAAGGCCGTAGGTATATACCAACCGAACTTCTGGGTTCTGTGAGTTATTTATGTGTTCAGATGTCATAGTTTTTAATTGCTGATGATATGTAAAATCCCTTCAGCTTTCTAGCAGGTAGAGCCACAGAATCCTGAGTAGTCTTGAAGAGTTTGGTTCCCATGGCAGAGTTCCATAGTACCATTCCCCCACCCCTAACCCTCTGAAGGCATTCTTGGTGCTCAGGGCAAGGCTTGTATGTTGTACACTGTGAACTTGTAAGTCTAGTTCCTCTGCACATCTAGGGGGGTTGGAGCCACAGGTTGCTCTGTGCAGGAGATGTGGGCATCACAGTGTTAAGAACCACGCAGGTACTCACCTCTGTGTGCTCTACCCACCCTCAGGTGAAGAGGAACAGCACACCCCCCCTCTCCTTATTCGGACAACTCCTGTGGCGAGAGTTTTTCTACACAGCGGCCACCAACAACCCCAGGTTTGACCGAATGGAGGGGAACCCCATCTGCATCCAGATCCCCTGGGACCGCAACCCCGAAGCCCTGGCCAAGTGGGCCGAGGGCAAGACAGGCTTCCCTTGGATTGACGCCATCATGACCCAACTGAGGCAGGAGGGCTGGATCCACCACCTGGCCCGGCACGCCGTGGCCTGCTTCCTCACCCGCGGGGACCTCTGGGTCAGCTGGGAGAGCGGGGTCCGGGTGAGTGCAAGCGGCCTGTACCCTGTGACCAGGCCTAGCCAAGGGCAGTTCCTTCTAGGCTGGGGGCTGGGGTGGGATCTCTGGGTCCAGGCGATCCCTTCCACATCCTCTGGGCCCTCAACGGAAGGGCTTTGGCCTCTTGGGGAGTTACACTGTTATAGACTTGGAGAGAGCCAGAGAGTCAGGTCTCCAAGGAGGTTGATTGTCTCCTGTGTAGGTGTTTGACGAGCTGCTCCTGGACGCAGATTTCAGCGTGAATGCGGGAAGCTGGATGTGGCTGTCCTGCAGCGCTTTCTTCCAACAGTTCTTCCACTGTTACTGCCCTGTGGGCTTCGGTCGACGCACAGACCCCAGCGGGGACTATATTCGGTAAGGTGCAGGCCACACTTTCTGGCTCTGGACCACTGTGGCCTCCTGGGCTGGAGTATCCTGGGCCCTTTGAAGAAGAGCCACTTGTGCTGACAAATTACCTGGTGTGTTTCAGGCGATACCTGCCCAAATTGAAAGGGTTCCCCTCTCGCTACATCTATGAGCCCTGGAATGCCCCAGAGTCGGTTCAGAAGGCTGCCAAGTGCATCATTGGTGTGGACTACCCACGGCCCATTGTCAACCATGCAGAGACTAGTCGGCTCAACATTGAGCGGATGAAGCAGATTTACCAGCAGCTCTCACGATACCGGGGACTCTGTAAGGAGCCCCTACCCCTACTGAGATCTCACTCACCCAGGGGAGGACTTAACCTAAGGCTTTTTCAGGTGTTTACTGGTTCCAGGCTGTGAAAGACACTGCAGGCTGGGCCAGATTGGGCTCTTTGAGCAGCAGCTGTGGGGTGTTGGGAAAAGGCGAGGCTGTGTCCTGGTCCTGCCCTCTGGGCTCCTTTGTTTCTCATGACCCACAGCTCTTTTAATCTTGTGTGCATTCTGACTACCCCTTGCTTTATCCCCCAGGTCTGCTAGCATCTGTCCCTTCCTGTGTGGAAGACCTCAGTCACCCTGTGGCAGAGCCCAGTTCTAGCCAGGCTGGGAGCATCAGCAATACGGGTGAGTAATTACACTGGCCTCTGGTCTCCCTGGCCTTCTGTGGTCTGTGCCCCCACCACCACCTCAGTCACTCAGGCCCTATGTCAAATGAGCATGTGCCTGGTGAAGCCTATATTTCACCTAGAGCACACTGTAAGACGATCATATAAGAGCGTTCATTTAAGATTTTTGGAGGGAAGTAGCATTGGGTGGCTTGATGTGGGGCTAGGAATGGGGCTTTCTTAGAGCTACTTTAAATAGAATCAGCCAAGGGGTGATGCTTTCTAAGCACTGTTTAGCATGATAAGAACCAGGAAAGGAAATAGCAAGAAAAGCTCCAGAAGCAGGAGTGAGCAGAGTTCACTCTAGGAATAGAAGGGATCCAGAGCCATGGACAGGTGAGCAGAGCAACTTTGTCTCAAGTCGCCCTGCCTTCCTGCATTGAAGGGAGTCAGCAGGGCCGGACAAGGCCCGGTTGAGTTTTAAAACTTCACTGCCTGCCACATAAACAGTGAACAGTGAGGAACAGTGTAAGGATGGAGAGATGGGGAATAAGGTGGCACAGGGGTCTAGGCATGAGAAGCAGCAGGAAAGAGCAAGGGTGCTGGTCAGCATGGGAATACTCCATAGTGTGCAGGTGGCCAGAACTCCCAGAATTTCCCCAGGGCTGCAAAGGGAAAGCCTCACCTTCAGAGCAAGGACAGCAGATACACCAGATCAGTCTCTGACCTAGACCAAAGACCTGAGGACCAGAAGTTGGCTGTGGTGCCAGCAGGCCAACTCATGCCCTTCTCATCCAATTCCACTGCTGAAAAGAGGCCATGGCAGGGCTTCCTGTCCCCAAAGAGCAGTCATTGCACAGCGTGAGACCATTATGGTATGTAACTATGATTGTTCTCTGTGTGTCTCCACAGGCCCCAGACCATTATCTAGTGGACCAGCTTCCCCCAAACGCAAGCTGGAAGCAGCTGAGGAGCCTCCTGGTGAAGAACTAAGCAAGCGTGCGAGGGTGACAGAGATGCCTGCCCAAGAGCCAGCGAGCAAGGATGCCTGAGAGTGAGTCCTTGCGGAGGGAGGGGGTCATGGGTTAGAAAGCTACTACTTGCCTGCTAGAGATTGAAACAGCAAACCAGATTAAAATCTGATTGGGATGAGGGGTAGAAGTTCAGTTCAAAATCCCGCCATTCTGCCTTTCATACCTTCTAAACCAGTGGTTCTCCACCTTCCTAGTGCTGTGACCTTTAATACAGTTCCTCATGTTGTGGTGACCCCCCAACCATAAAATTGTTTCTGTTGCTACTTTCTATGGTATGAATTAAAAGGTAAATATCTGTCATACAGAATATCTGATATGCAACCCTCAAAGGGGCCTTGATCCACAGGTTGAGAACCACTGTTCTAAACCTTTAGGGGGTTTATTTATTGGTTTGTTTGAGACAGAGCCTCACTGTGTAGCTGAACTAATCTTCAGCTTGGAGCAATCCTCCTGCCTCATTTTCCTGAGTGCCAGCATTTCAGATGTGAGCCACCATGTCCAGTTTACCATCTAAAATTTAAAAGGAAATTATTAATTTTTAAGGAAAGAAGAGTTTATTTTGAATCAAAGAAATTTAGAAGTTGAAATCCTTTGTTTTCTGGCTGGGGTGAAGGAAGAGGAGAAGGTTAGTTTTGTTCTGTTTGTTTACTTGTTCTTTCTGTCTCTTAACATGAGTCAAATCAGACCTGGATGTGAAGCTGTGAAGTGGCAGGTGTGAGGCTGTGTCCTGTAGGCCAGATGAGGGCAACACTGAGCCAGGAAGGGCTAGAGGGCCCAGAACTAGCTTTCTGCCGCTACCTGCAGAACGTCTCCTCTTCTCACCGAGGCTGTGGCTTTGCACATCCCTGTCAATGCTCATCTTTTCTAGAGGGTTCCTGAATCATTAAAAAGGGAAGGGAAAGAAGGAAGGAAGGAAGGAAGGAAGGAAGGAAGGAAGGAAGGAAGGAAGGAAGGAAGGAAGGAAGGAAGGAAGTCTTGCTTCCTCCTTGTGTCTCCTTCCCCAAGACAGAAAAGGCTTTCAAGCCAATACTGGAGAAATGTAGATTGCCATCCTCTCTTAATCAGGTTTGTCATCCTCTCTTATCAGCCTGTTCCATGCATCAGTAGATTGGATGGTGCTTTTCACCTTGGAGCTTTTTGGTTCTTCTTTCTGGTCTTGATCACTTCAGGGCCTCACTAGGGCGAATGTCTTGGTTTTTGTGCTCAGTGAGATGGCAAGTACCTGGTACTTTTGCCATCTAGACATTGCCAGTGGGAAGACAAGGTTGCGCTGCTTTGTCCCTGGAAGAGCCAGCCGCTAAAATTTTATGCTCTTTGTGGTGCTAAGCACAGTGTGTGATGGCTAATGAGTGTACTTGGTAAATTTCCCAGTTTTAAATTTTAGTTCTTTTTATTTTATATACATTGGTATTTGACTGCATGTATATCTATGTGAGGGTATCTGATCCTCTGGAACAGGAGTTACAGACAGTTGTGAGCTGTCATGTGGATAATGGGAATTGAACCCAGGTCTTCCGGAAGAGCAGTCAGTGCTCTTAACCACAGAGCCATCTCTCCAGCCCAAATTCCCTGCTTTTGAGGCAAGATTAGTAAGCAGAAAGGTTAGGTATGTTAGTCAAGGCCGCACAGTAAAGCTGATGACATACAGGCCAGCATGGCTTGTTGCATGTAGGTGTACAGGAAAAATGACATAGAGAGCATGCCACATTAATGTGGATTCCAGCACAGCAAGGCAGACTAACAGCCTACAGTTCCCAAACAAATGACGCAGACTCGCAGCTTATTAGAAGAGAGCTGTTGATGGACTATGTGATGAAGGAACGTGAAACTGAACTTTACAGCAGGGAACCTGAAAGAGGAATTGGATTCAGGCAGAGTAAAGAGTATTGTAAACAACAGCAAAATCAATTTAAAGTTCACACAATCTTATGCAAATTACTTAATCTCTAGGAGGATAGTTTTCCTTCCTGAAAATCAGGTTGTTCCCAAAATTAAGCACAGATACCAGTCAAGAACATGTTGGGGTGCTGATGTGAGTTGAGCATCCTTTAATTCAAGCTCCTAGATCCAAATGCTCTGAAATCCAAAACCATTTGAGTGTCAATAGTGAAGTCTGTGCAGATATCCCTAAATCCACAAAACCCTGAACTTTAAAATACCTCTGGTCAGGGCGTGTCAGATAATGGGCACTCAGCCTCGGTACCAAGCCCTACTGGTTGGGTAAAACAGAGTGGGACATTTTTCTTACTTTCAGGGGCTCAAAGATGAGGTTTACAGATTCTGGTTTGGTAGGCCCAAGATGGTTGTTGCAGCTCAGCTGTCTGCCTCCTTAAGGCAGGAACAGGACAGCAGGGTTGACTGTACTCACTCGCTCAGTTAACGTACATCCCATGTTTCCAACTCCCATGACAGGTCCTAGGCTTGGGGCATTTTGTGAGCTAGACTGGCAGCCCCCACCTCACCTCGGGTGATACAGGTAGGAGGAGAGAGTGTAAGGAGAGATGTTTTAATTTCAAGAAGCTATAAATGTTATGAAGAAAAGATGCAGTTGCCTAAGAAGAGAAAGGAGAGTCTGGGACACGCAGGGTTGGCTGACTCAGGAACTGAGCTTTAAGAATCGTTGTCTTGGACTGTTGTCTGGGACAGGAAGGCTTGGGTGGGGTTAGAAGTATAGATCATGGCAGACACCAGCAGCGTCACACAGTGTGTAGGCCTTATAGCCTGGGCTTAGTGCAGAAGTACTACGGCGCAGTGCTTCCTTCTGGGATGGGGATTATTGGGATCATTGTTTATTCAGCCTGAAGCTCTGGAAGACTGTTAGACCAGGCAGAGGGGCCCCTTGAGGGAGTTCCTGGGAGAGAAGCCACCTGTGGAACAGGACAGTCAGACCAGCATCCGAAGGAGACTAAGCCCTGGGCGGGGCCCTACAGAGAGCTGGGTGGGCAGGAGCCATTTGGGAGACCTGATGCTAATGCAAGTGACATCAGCTGTGCATAGGAGTACCTTTCCTACCCTGTAGTCTGGGTGCTCCTTGTGCCATCTACTAAATGTCTGGGGGCTGCTTTTCACAGCTTTGCTCTTTGTCTTCATTAGGTAGTTAAGCCAGGCAAAGCTTTTGAGGGTGAAGAGGAGCCAAGAGGTCAGAGGACGTGACAGGAGCAGACTTCTTTCCAAGATAGGCAGTAGGAATGCCATGTGTTTTGGAAACCCCAGAAGAGCAGAACACAGTGGCTTCTGCATGCAGGCTAGGACATTTGGGTCTCAAGACCCTCACCTTTCGTATTAGGCCTTCTAGAGGAGCAGACCCAGCAGAATGCTCATGTTTACAAAATAATGTGTTAGATTGTGTTATATAGTCTAACCACTATGGCACACTGGAGAGGCTAAGAACCCAGGAACTGCACATTCTGCAAGGCTGGTGCTGAAGGCCAGAAAGATTCCTCAAGAGCTTTGGAAGGTCAAAGAAGCTGGGTTCTAGTGTCAGTTAAGAATGGCGGCGGCAGCGGCAGCAGGGTAGGTGCACTTAGCAACAAGGAGCACAGGCAAGCAGACAGACTTGCCCCTGCTTTTCTCTCAGGACTCCATATGTAGGCTGCTGCTAGAAGTCACTGCCCCTGGAGAGAAGCTTAGCCCTCAGTTAGTCCTTCTAGGGAACGTCCTCACAGACCCACTCAGAGGCAAGTCTTAGTCCCAAATCTGATCAAGATGACAACCACGATTAACCCTTACATCTGTGAAGTGCTTTGTCACCTGTTCTACTGCTGGGACACACATGTAGGGATGTCAGGGAGAAAATCAAAACCCTTGTGTGAAAAGTAAGTGAAGCACACCAGGCAGAGAAGGCACAGAGCTGCCTTTCATGTGCTTCAGAGTGACATTGATCACTTAACTGCTGGGCCACAGAGTGGAGCCTGTGGGTCCAGTCAGTTGTGTGGACGGAAAGACCTGCCCCTTTCTGCCCATCCTCTGTTCATTTTAGTCATGTGAGTTGGGCTGCAGGCCAAGGTCTGAGTAATCATTCCCCACATTTAGTCTCTTAGCTCTGCTCTATGGCATTGTGATCCTGCTGTCTCTGGCACTTGCTGTCTCATGAGCAATCATTACAATTTAAATCAGTATTCCAGAAAAACATCTCTAGGATCAGTAGTTTCCATGCTTGCCTCAAACCCACGCCAACCGAATGTTCTACATTTAGTTTTTACAGTGTTCATTAAGCTGAAAGAGAAAACAGTGAGCTTCCAAATAGCAGTCCTGTCAGCTGGTTCCCGTAACCCCCAGAGCTGCTGACACAGGGTTCCATCAGCCTCCAATTCCGCACCGGCTTTTGGTCGGAACTCATTGGTCCAGTGAGTTTACCACGGGACAGCACGTGTGCTTCATTTCTTTCTTGCACTGCACAGCAGTCTATTGAGAGAAGCCCCTCCATGCACAGAGAGCCATGGCCCAAGGAGCTCCTCTCCTGTCTGTCCTTTGCTGTGTTAGTGCTGAGGTTTCACTGCCTAAAACCCCCCTTGTTCCTCTGACGCTTGTTCAGCTGCAATGTGACAGGTGTGTCACTGACAACTTTTCCAGTGAGGAGATGGAGGCAGCCCAGTCCTCCCAGAGAACCTGGCTCAGCATCCTAGGTCTGTGCTCCTGGCTGCAGAATGTCCAGGTATATCTCAGCTGGGTCTCAGCTCCTGAGCTGGAAATGAGCCAAAAGAAAGGAGGTCAAATGCTTTCCATAAATGATAATAAGTGTTGATGGCAGTACATTTAAATTGATCTCAGAAACACATAGTATGTACATGTGTTAGAATAGCACATGATAAGCTAGGCATGATGCATGCCTGGAGTCCCAGCACTTGGAAGACTAAGGAAGGAGGGTCAGGAGTTCAAGGTCATCATCAGTTACATAGCAATTTTAAGACCAAACTGTATTATATGAGATACTGTCTATGAAGAGAAGAGAGATGGGCAAAATATTTTTTCAAAATCACATAATATGCCATTATGTACCATTTTATGTATCAGTTAAAATGAATTTAAATGTTGAAAAGATTTGTCCATAATTCCATGAGCCCAAGCGCAGAAGGCAGCAGAAACGAAACGGAGATGTGGAGATAGCAGTGGAGTTGGTGTTCCGGAAGGAAGCTCAGCTCAGGTCTCACAGCGAGGCCAGCTCTGTGTGGGAATTATACTCAGAAGTGTTTCTGTAACGCAGTGCACCCTAGAAACAAAGGAGTGTCTCTGGAACGGAAAGGCAAGTCTGGACACTGCAGTACATTGTGCAAGGGGAAGACGGCTGAACTTAGACTGCACGTGTCCACGTGTGTGCTTGGCCCAGCTTCAAAAGCCTAGAGCGTATCACTTCCCAGGTGCAGGTGGCTTTACATTTAGCATGTGGCCTTAAAAGGATTACATGCACATGAACATGTGTAGTCCTAGCACCTGGGAGGTGGAAACAGGAGGAGCAGGAGCCCAAGGCTGCCTCAGCTGCATCTGATAAACACTAAAGATGGATTGGATGGAATGTGCTAAAAGGCTGAGTTTCTATCCATCTCCAAATTCATCTGACCTTTTTGTCTTTGTTTCTTGAGACAGGATTTCTCTGTGTAGCTCTGGCCGTCCTGGAACTCACTGTAGACCAGAGATCTGCCTGCCTCTGTCTCCTGGGTGCTGGGATCAAAGACGTGTGCCACCACTGCCTGGTGTGTCTGACTTTTAAGAGTATTTTTCCGTTGCCAACACCGTCCACTTATTTTTGCTTAGTTGTCAGTCTCTACGCTGCTATGTTGAATTTCTTGCTTTTTACATCTTGTAGGTCTTGGTGAGGAGTAATATAAAGATTACTTACTGGTTAAAAAGCAAATAGCAGTGCTCTCAGAGGACCACTGGCTGCTCTTGCAGAAGTCCCAAGGTTCAAGTCCCAGCACCCACATGGCTACTCAAAACCATCTGTGACTTCAGTCTCAGGGGATCCTGGCTGGCTTCTAGGGGCACTGGATATTCATGTACAAAACATTCTTACACATAAATAATTAGTTTTAAGCATCCATAGTTTTTGAGTCCTGAAGGCCTGGGAATTCCTGTGTTGGTTATTTGTGTGGACACTCCCGTCAGTTCAGTTTCTCATTTATGCAAAGGGAGGGATAACAGGTTGTCTGGATCTGGGAGGGTCTGGGAGGTCTCTGTAGTGAAGCACTATAGAAGCAACTCTTTGGTTCTGGAGTCTGGAGTTCATGGTCATGGTCTCTGGTGCTTGCAAAAGTTGGATGCTTTATTCTGTCCGGGTTAAAGTTCTTTTTCCAGTTTGGATTTGAGGTCACCCTAGTAATCTCATTTTTACCTAAAGACAGTCACAAGCCAAAGCCTAAGGTACTGGGAGTCAAGACCTGAGCCACAAAACCAATGACATCAGTTGTGGACACAAGAGTGTCTGCACTGTAACCACTCCATCAGCCTGCCGCCACAGGCAGTGGGCTTACCCTGTCCTCTGGTGTCTGGTGAGGCCATTTGTCTTTCTGCCCGGATCCAAGTTGTTCTAAATCTTTAAGATGACTGAGCTTGTGTCACCATTCCCCTTTCTGCTCCGGACCCCACCCGCCTGCCCACCCATTGTAGCCCGTGCCCAGGGCTCTGTGATTGGTGGGTGGAAGTTTGTCCAGCTGCTGCTTCTAAACCCAGTCATTGCCTTACTCTTCAAAACTTCTCACAGAGCTGCTTTCTCCGACTCCCTCTCTAGAAGCAGGAGTTGTGCTCTTGTCATCTATGAACAAGTGTCCTTCAAGCTGTCAAGTGATGGCATGCATGCAGCCCTGTCCTCTGCTGTCCTCATCCTTGGGGAGAGCGTGTGCAGGGAACACTTTCCCTGGGTTCAGAGATGCAGTATTCAGCCATTCCCCCCGTGGTTGTCCAGCAACAGCCTGGCCCTGGGGATTGTGGCCTAAGCAGCATATTCACTGAGCTGTCCCACTCCCAGTCTGAGAATCCCCAGGGAAGCAGCGAGAGGAGCTGGGCCTGGGCAGCTAAGCAGCCTCCTGAGTGCCCCCTTTGTACATGTTTTTCTCTTTCAGCTGGAAAGCCATTGCTCCGAGAGCAGAGCCCAGGTGCCTGAGCTGCCACGGCCACAGAGCGAAACCTACAGAGAAGCCAGTCACCAACAGACAGCGAGCAAGAGTGTGTGTATGTGTGTGTGTGTGCACGCAGGTGTGCTTGTGTGTGCGTGCACGCGGCGTAGTGTGCCATTTGCGTGTGCATGCATCTGTTTACACTCTGGGCTGGAGATGTCCAGGGATCATGCCTCCTAACCAGGGCTGCTTCCTGACCTCCAGACACAAGACCCAAAGCTGTCCCTGGGAGTCCCCTTCCTTGTCCTAGTAGGGTGATAGGGCCCTAGCTCAAATTCTGGTCTCTGCCTCCCCAGACAACTCTTCCTCCCTCGTATCTCCAGACAGGGAGGTAGAGGGCCACAGCTTTTGACTCTCATCTGAAGCATGAAGTTCCAGAAGCAGCCAGAGTCCTGCTGACTTAGTTCCCACTTTCTGACACTAGAACCTGAGCAGCTGGAGTAGCTGCTTCCCATACTGACTTAAACAGTTGGACAGTCTTCTTTTAAAATCCCATGTTACTGGCAGGGCAGGCCCTGGGTGTCTAACACTGCAGACTGGCTGGCGTGTTGTGTGCCCAATCCTGCCTATGCCAGCCTCAGATGGCATTATCTGTCTCTGTAGGACCTTCTAGAAGTCAAGTGAGGCATAGACCCCAAGTCTTCTAGCCCTTCCCTAACAGCTAGGGTCCAGTCTCGGCCTCCCAGGAGCTGTGGATGAGCCAGGGTCTGAGCTGGTGGAGGAAACCAGGACCCATGGCTTAGGGGCTCCTGGCTCCTCAGGCCACACTCCTAGGCATGAAATGCTCCAGCAAGTACTGCTGACACCAGCCAGGCAAGCTGGCCAGTCTGTGCTCTACAGGCTTCCGCCCCCCACCCCACTCGCCCTGCACTAGGTGACACCCACACAGCCCTGTCAGTGCTCCAGGACTGGGCCTCAAGGGACCCAGAGGGACTGCCTGGGGTGGGGCACTACCTGGGGCGGTTGGCAACAGGTCAGGCAGAGATCACACCTGGCACACCATCCCCTTCCAGGGCAGCAGGGGAAGATTTGGCTCAGAGAAGCCAAGCCTGCTTTCCAGGGAGTCCCTTCCCCCTCCCACTGCAGCGTCCTGTGGAGAAAGAAGTTGTGAAAAGAAGGATCTGAGTGCAACTGAGCAAGTCTTCCTTCCACCCCATGGCCTGCACTTGAGCCGTGTGTGTGTGTGTGTGTGTGTGTGTGTGTGTGTGTGTGTATGTGTGTTCCTGTTGGGGTTTTTGTTCTCACATGTAACATTAAGCTGGCCTCTGGGCCTTTTCCTCTCTACCTCCCCTGTGACCTTTCCTAGCCTCAGAGTTGTTAATGCCCTTGGCCCTGACCTTCACTGTGTCAGACAAGAACCCAAGAACCCTGGGGTCAGGTCCCCTCTCCTCCAGCTGTCCAGCACATCTGACAGGCTTCTTTTTGAGATGGCCTCAGGTTTTCTCAGCAGAGAGCTGCCTTTAGTCCAACTGTTCATGTCCATCGTTCTGATTAGAAGCATCCTGTGACCATGTGGAAGAATGGGGCACTGGTGATATGTGTTCAGGGCTCTGGGCTGTGGCCTCCCTGCTCCTTAGCCCCAGGCCAAGAGGAAAGAGCCAAGGGATCTTGCTAGAGGAAAAGCAAGGCAAGCCTGGAGAACTGGTCTGAAGAGGATCAAAGGCTAGGTCTGGATCCAGTATTTATTTCGCAACACCTTCAGCTATGGGGGCAATGCCCTTCTCTGCTTTTTTGATGATGGCTCTCTTCCCAAGGTACAAGTTGGCAAGATCACCTGCCCTTCCATCTCCTTGACATGCTGGCTCATTCCCAGGACAGCCTTCCAATGAATGAAATGGTCTACTCCCAGAGCTATGTGATGGAGTGGCCTGGGGGCTGGGGTGGCTTCATGACTCCTTTTGCCTAGCCTGAGTGCCCTTGAGGGCTGTCACAGAACAGCGCCCCATGTCCTGCTCCTGGGACGTAGCATGGAGAAGAGATGGTCGCAGGCAAGAAGCACTTTATGGAGTTCCCTATTCCTGGGAAGGTTGTGTTTTGCCCAATTTGTCTGTGAACATTTACTTGTTTTATAAATGTCTGATCCTGTCTGAGTAAAGCTGTGTTGTGTAGTCCATCTTGTGGGTTACCTGGGAACTGGGGTTTCTGGGCATGAACATGGGTAAAGCTTTAAGCCTGGCCGTACTGCTACTGTTAGAGTGAGGAGTCTTATTCCCTCATGGATAATAGGAGGCTGTAAGCTACTGTAGCAGCCCTAGAGCTTGGTCAGAATCAAGAATCGGCCCAAACCGTACAGAGCCCTGAGACCGGTTCCTGGGTGCCACCTTACAATGGCATCAGGTAGCCTGCTGAAAATCAGGGTCCTGTCTGTATTCATTCTTCATGATGTGCTAAATGTGCCCTCTGGACACTGTTAAGGAGGCCACAGCCAAGCATGAGGCCAGGATGCTTGCTCTGTCATGGACCATCTGGCCAGAGTTCCATGTACATGGGTGTTCCTGGTGAGAGAGGGGCTCAGGCAAAGCCAAAGAAAATCACGGTCTGCTCTACAGACACATGTCATTCCTGGCTCTGCCTCCTACCTCCTGCTGGCCTACTTCCTTCCAAGACCAGGCTGGCTCCCTCTCTGGGCTTCTCATCCTGCTTTGGTTTGGCTGGAGAAGCTGAGATAGACACCTTTGTTCTTGAGCAGAGGCTTCAATGAGATGAGACTGTCCTACATACATACACTTCGGACTTCCTGGGGATGCTTCCCAGCTGAGACGAGCACACTTTAGCCCCGATAAGTAGGCAGGGCCGCTTTCCTGGGGGGAGGAAGACACCAAAGCAGCAGATGGTTACAGTGGGGCCTAGTGTGAGAGGCCTGAGCCAAAACAGAAAGTGACCAAACCTTACTTAGTGAAGCTTCCGTGGCAGGGAGGGGAGAGGCAACCAAGGCTTTAGGTTTTAGGACCGAAGCAGGGAGATTGAGTGCCTGCAGCTTATTTCGGGGAAGGAAAAGGAGGCAGTGTTCACAGTTGGCACTCAAGATTTGCAAACAGAACTCCGCAGGCTGTAGAGCATTTGTCTGTCCTGCTCCATCTACGTGGCCACAGGGGTAGTGGAGCTGGGTGGGAGGCACTCTGACCCATCAAACCTGGAGCCCTAGCATAGGCAGCCCATGTTGTGTGAGAGAACCTAACACAACTAGGAAGAGCCACGGCTCAACCCTGGTGGGTTCAAGGAACAGAAGCAACCTAAAGGCCCCCAAGAAGCCAGCTCTGGGGGCAAGAAGAAGGTCCTGGGCCTCAGGGTAGGAGAAGCCAGTTCAGGACTGTGTGGGTGTGAAAGGGGTACTCTGCGGAAAACGTGGTGGGAAGGTTTAAGTGCTGGGAACTGGGCATTCACACTAATCCTCAGGCTTAGCAAGAGACACAAGCATATTGTTACCAGTTCAGAGTCAGCCTAGGCTTCATAGTAGCTTCCAGGACAACCTGGAAATTAAAGAAAATGAAGTGTTGGGGGAGTCCTGGCATAAAGAGGCTCCACAGGGCTAAGAAGCCAAGAGCATGGCTCAGGTTACCAGTGTAGCCGGGGCTCAAAGGGGTCTTAACAGAGGTGCCCTTCTAGACAGAGTTCCGGAGGACGTGAGGGCTAGATCCCAGTTCACAGGTGGGTGTTCCCCACCCCCAGGAACAAGCATCTCTACTATGTTTCTTTTTCACCACAGTCATGGAGGGGTCATACCCCATTTCACACATGGGAAAGACAAACCTTAGAGCTGTGAGGTCACCAATGAAAGTCTCCACTGCCTGTTTACTTGTGGAGCCAAGCTATGGTTTTAGGCCACCTGGCTCCAAAGCTGACTGCTTTTGGACGCCACTCTCTCCCTTCTCAGCCATCTTCTGCAACCGTCCTTCCCACCCCCCAGTGGTGTGGAAGGCAAAGCCAAATCTGGAGAGCAGGACTTTACCACTATATACCTGGTGCTCTGGATCTAGGACCAGCTTTGGGGGTGGGGGGAGAGCAAAGCTTTGCTGGTGGCTGGAGAGTCCGGTGGGATACTGCTGAAGACCAGGTGGACCCAGGGCCACCGGGCCAAAGCGTCAGCACCTCGGAGAGCGCCTGGAGGCGGGGCGGGGGCGGGGCCACGAGACCCCAGTCGGCCCGGGGGCGCGCACGGTGCGCTCTCGCCGGGGCCGCAGGCAAAGCGGCGCGCGCCGGGAACCGCGCCCGCCCTAGCCCGGTCCGAGCCCCGCGGCGGCGGCGGCCTCCTAGCCGCGCCTCCGCCTCCCAGCCGCCGCCGCCGCCGCCGCCTCCCGCGCCGCGCTCCGCCCGGATGGCCAGGGCTGCGCCCGGGAATGGCGGAGCGAGAGAGCGGCCTGGGCGGGGGCGCCGCGTCCCCGCCGGCCGCCTCCCCATTCCTGGGACTGCACATCGCGTCTCCTCCCAATTTCAGGTGAGGACTGCGGCCTCGCGTGCCCCGCCCTTCGACCGGGCCCCGAACCTCGGAATCCCCAAGGACCCCTAGGGCGGCGTCCCTTCTTGGCCGAGCCCCTAGCCCCACAACCTCCAGTCCAGGTTGGTGGCCGAGGCGTGTCCTCCACCACCACCACGCAGCTCCTTACGCCATTCTTGGTGTTCTGGGGTCGGGCGATCGGGATGAATCTGGGGCAGGGACCCGGGAGGTCGCCTCTCCCCTCCACCTTTGCGCTGAGAATGGGTCTGGGGTTTGGTTGGAATCCCGGTGCAGCAACGTGCCCAGACTTTACCTGCTGCATCCCAAGATTTCTGGCCCACGGTGGAAGCGAGCTAAAGGTTGGGAGCCCGTAGGCTCCAGTTCTCGGAGGGAACAGCCTTGGCGTAAGGAGGGTCGTGAGCCCCTCCTCCAGCTGTCCTGGCCAGATGAGCCAGGTGCTAGGCTGTCCCGGACAGGGTCTTCTGGATTTGGGGAGCTCCCACCTGGTCAGTTATATCTCAGGACAGGTGCAGAAAGCTCAGCCTCAACCAGTGGAACCCAACCTGCTTGTGTGTGTGTGTGTGTGTGTGTGTGTGTGTGTGTGTGTGTGTGTGT